TATATATATATATATATATATATATATATATATATATATATATATATATATATTCCCAGTTAGAAACAATCAAACAAGTTAGCAAAAACACAAAAGTACCAACAATCCCAGTGCGACCTCCGTGCAGGTCATCCGAGGCGCCCATCGCCTCCTGCGCCTAGCAATGTCACCGCTTGGCCGCGTCCCAGGCCACGCTCATGAATTTCAGAGGCGGAATCGCGTGAACTGTGAAATACGCGGACACGGCGACCTGCATGAAATAGCGGTCAAAGTACATGATGCAGTCTTGAATATACTGTATCTAAAACCGTTCCTAATCGACTAGATAAACGAATAAGAGTGAAAAAAACAGCAGTGAAGCTTTATTTAACTGGCTTGTATCGAGTGGCAATGGCAACAGCCGGCGAGTTATTCGTGGAAGTGTGGCGTGAAGGCCAAGTGGATCGCTTTACGTGAAGGAAATATTTTCATTCTTACTGTCTTTTTCATTATTAATATTCTTTTTTTTTCCTTTTTCGTCGCGTTCTTTCAGTTACTTGTCTTTCTTTCTGTTATTTATCTTTTTTTCATGCTCTTCTTTCTTCTTTCTTTTTCTTCTTCATCCTCTTATTATTATTATCATTATCATTATTATTATCATCATTATCATTATTATTATCATGACCATTAATATGATCATCATTATCATAATCATTATCAACATCCCCATCATAATCATAAGAATGATTTTTTCATCATTATCCACCTTTTGCAGGGAAGCGGCCCTGAGAACTGAGCAGCAACAGAAATGACCACGAAGATTACAGGCGAAATTTTTTTGAAAAATCATTTGGCTGTTGACGTTCAAAACCAACATAATGCATTTTAACAGTTATCATAATGATAATTATGATAGTAATGATACTAGAAAAAATGGTGATGTTACTATCACTATCATCCTTGCCATAACTGACAATATCATTAAAATAATCTGTTACTTCTGCTGCGTGAAGACATAGAAGAAGAAATTTTAAAGATCATAGCGTATGTGCCTGAGTGTGTGTGTGCATGTGTGTGTGTTGGTATGTCTATATGTGTGTGTACGTACATGCATATGCATATATACACATGTAAACATATATATGTGAATATATATTGTTCATATAAATATGTGTGTATGTGCGCGTGTGTATGTGTGTGTGTGTGTGTGTGTGTGTGTGTGTGTGTGTGTGTGTGTGTGTGTGTGTGTGTGTGTGTGTGTGTGTGTGTGTGTGTGTGTGTACCTTCATCGTACTACATCGTACCTTCCGATCTCCTTAATACATTGTAAACCACCCATACTCAAACAGTTTTACGTGTTTACATTGCAAGTTAATTCCACTGACTACCAAGAGAGGGCAGACCGGCAGTCGATTGACCAATCAGCAGTCAGCCTGCTAGACGTAACAACCAATGGAAAGCCATGGCTGCCTCATGCCACGCCTCCAACGGTCACCAACACCATGGAAGGGAGAGCGACTGTCTCCCCGAGTGATAGCCAACTAACACCCGAGTAAGATTCAGCTAACTGTAACAAAATAATTTAACTATGATGAATTTCCCTGAATAACTCGACTTTCTATAGTACAAGTTCTATGTACAAGAAGAATAAGAATGATAATACGAACTAGCAATCCTCTTTAGGCAAAAAAAAAGAAAAAAAATATATATATACATTGTTATTTCCTATATTTTTAACATAATGTATAAGACGTCTTACATATGACCTGATATATATTATATAGTCACTGGTCATCGGATTAATAATTCTTGAAGGGACTGTTTAGTTGGATATTTGCCATCAAAGGTTATAGTAAAACTAAGAAATCTGTGATATCGCAACAAATGCTTGTCTTTTAAATAGAGAGAAACAGAGGATTCCCTATAACAGTGTTTCTCACGGTGTAATGTTCGGTCATGAAGATAAGCAGCCACCAAAATACTGTTTGTCGTCTGTCAACTCACTTTACAGGCAACTTATAATTGATTCAAGATAGGAATAAAGCAATGAAAACAAAGGAAATACTAGACAACTGAAATTCCCCGGTATTAAATAGAGTATTAAATATAGTCAAATATAGGCTTCTGTCGACTAGCTAATGGGGAAAACTGTACTATATCCGGTTTGAAACCCGTACGAGAGCCCCAGAGCAGTTGAAATTTACAAGGTACTTTACAATGTGTGACGTCAACATGGCGGCTAATTTTGTTTCGGAGCCTTACGACATTGCAACGGCTCTGATGCGTGATGCAATATTGTAAACTGTTTTGAGTATCCGGCCCCTGGTCAGGGAGGATGGTTATATACATATATGTATGTGTGTGTGACAATCAAACAAGTTAACAAAAACACAAAAGCACCAACAATCCCAGTGCGACCTCCGTGCAGGTCATCCGAGGCGCCCATCGCCTCCTGCGCCTAGCAATGTCACCGCTTGGCCGCGTCCCAGGCCACGCTCATGAATTTCAGAGGCGGAATCGCGTGAACTGTGAAATACGCGGACACGGCGACCTGCATGAAGCAGCGGTCAAAGTACATGATGCAGTCTTCAATACACTGTATCTAAAACCGTTCTTAACTCAACCGCCCCGGATTTATGTTCTGTCCCTGAAGTTTTTGGCGAATTTGATTTCCCCATTCCTTGAATTGGCGGGGAAATATGTTTTTCTTATTAATACCATTACTATCGATACTGTTATTATTGTTATTGATGTTATGATCATTAAATTGCCATTAAAAGGTTTTAGACAATGAAATGATACAAAAGACCCTTTCCTAAAGTGGAGGAAAAGAGTAAACAGGT